TACTTTTCAAGATTTTAGTCATTTGAATGGCTGTTGAACAGTCAGAGCAGATGTGGAGTTTATAGTGAAAGAGTAGCCTTTACTGATATGGCTGATGGAACCATGTAGGTTGGTCCACCAGCTCCCAACTGTGAGAGTTCTGTGGGATGCAACTGAGAGCCGCAAATACTCATAAAGTGTCCCCTGGCCAACTAAGACTGGGAAACTCTAGGTGAAAGCTGGTTAAACAGATTTTTCATTTTGTTTTTAATTGAAAGAATTCTCAGTCTTTTTTTTTTTTTTTTTTTTTTGCGGTACGCGGGCCTCTCACTGTTGTGGCCTCTCCCATTGCGGAGCACAGGCTCGGGATGCGCAGGCTCAGCGGCCATGGCTCACGGGCCCAGCCGCTCCACGGCATGTGGGATCTTCCCGGACCGGGGCACGAACCCGTGTCCCCTGCATCGGCAGGTGGACTCTCAACCACTGCGCCACCAGGGAAGCCCCTCAGAGTCTTTAAAATGTGAATAATTGTCATGACTTTCCTAGAGGGGGACAAGGGGACAACATTTCCCAAATTTATTGAATCATGGTATTTTCTTTTTTTTCAGTGTCTTAGGGGACTAGGATACTCAGTAACACACTTAGGGAAATGCTGATGTGATGGTTTTGACAGGGATCCTTAACTCTGTAACTCCCGTGGCACTTGATCAAAAAAAAAAAAAAACAACAACAAAAGTTTTCTCGACTCTACCCTAGAATCTCCAGGAGAAGGGCCATTGCAACTATATGTTTCAAAAGGCTTAGCTGGGTATTCTGCCGTGCAGCCAGAGCAGATAGCCACTGCATTAGGAGAATGGCTCCTGGATTCGGGAGGGCCTAAGTTCAAGTCCAGGTACCATGGATAGTCATTTTATTATATTTGGGAAGTGACTTCATCTGGTTGTCTTAGTTTTCTCATCCATAAAATAGGAAATCATACTCACTCACTGGTACAGTTTTAGGCCCAAAAGAGTTAAATGAAATAATGAAGTAAAACAATTATCATAGAGTAGGTGCTGTTTGCAATTTGGAATCCTCAGTAACTTCAGTGTAAATAAAAATAGAAAAAGTATTTGCTTTCTCCATCTTTTAGGCTCATATGCCAACAATTTTTGCCTTTCTCCAACAGGAATGAAATAATTTTGAACCCTTATGTCTGTGATATGCCTGCGACACTTTGACTTCTGTTATCCTTAGAGCAATGTTCTGAAAGATAGGGTCAGACCATTAACAAAGATGGTTATGAGTCTTTTGGAAATCATGCCCCATGTCTTCTGGAAAATAGTTCTTTATCTTTTAGATTGTACATAATCTCCATTTTCCAAGAAATTATCTAAACTAGACCAAGAAATTGAAATCCGGTTTTAGAGCGTAAATGAAATGATGTCATCCTAGGTTTGCATCATATGCCCTGCAAAGGTCCAACATTTGGCCAGCACCAGCTGTCCATGTTCTTCTGTTGAGGCAGAGTTTTCTAAAATATTAACTTCGAAGGCATTTCTATTTCTATAAGGGCAGATGTAATGGGATTTTTATAGACATTCTAACATTTGCTGTCTTTCATGTTCGCTTTCCTTTTAAATAATCCCTCAGTGTCTTATCCCATTAAATAGATTTTTAAAATCTAGTACTGAATGGGGATGTGTGGGGATGTGTGTGTGTGTGTGTGTGTGTGTGTGTGTGTGTGTGTGTGTGTGTGTGTGTGATGACAGCTACCCTCCAGGGAGAAATGTATGTGTGAATTTGACTCTGGCCCAGAGAGATGCCACTGTGTATGAATGCAACGGTACAGATGATTCCAGCCTTACATGTGGATACTTTTCTGAAGTTCATTTGTAAGTCAGTAGTTTGGAACTTGGAACACATTTTCTCATAAAAGAAATGTTCTACATGGTGGAGAGAGCCTGTTTAACTCGTACTGCACCTGAAGCAGAATTGTTATTAACTCCAGAGAACAGTGTTTCCATGGAAACACATTTTCAGAGTGCTACTCTTTAATGCTGAGAACCACTGACTATAAAATTTTAACTTGTCTCCTAAATCACTCACCCCCTTTTCCTTTAATAAATTATCAAGAGGAGGAGCTATTCACACCACAAATTATTTCTTGAATATGTTAGGTTAAAATAATAGTTTTTTCTTTGCTTGTTTCATGCACTTTGAAACTTTAGAAAAAGGATGCACCCAACAAAGAAAAAGAGTTTCTTTAAACATTCTTGAGCTACTTGAAACTTGTTTGTTTTTGTCCTGGCATTTCCTGGCTCTCCTTGTATATCACAGCCCACTCGTCTCGCTGCAGAGAGGCAACTGTCACTACCCTTATGTTTGTTTTTAAAGACATCAAAATTGTTTATTTGTTTTTTCCTACCATATCTTTACCTTTCCCTTAAGTTTTTAAAACTTGCCTTATAATTTAATAGGAATCTGGAATAACTAAGTAATGAAATATATTCTAGGTCACACGGACCACAGGAATCAGAAATGTTTCAACTAATTATACACAGATTATGGCAGAAGTTGTATAAATATATCACAGAATCACAGGGCTGGAAAGAACCTTAAAAGATTGTCTAGTCTATTCCCTGGCTTCTAGACAAGCCAGTCATTCCAAACAGATGAGAGCTAACCTCTATTTTGGAGGAGGATGACTTTGGCTTTAACCCTTTTTCTAAAAGATTGAACCATTCAGGCACCATTAGTACATTACTCTTCGTTTTTAATCTAAATTCTTCCCTTGGCAGTTCCTCATAGGAAACAAAGTAGGTTGATTTGTGTAAAATCCCACAGCATATTTAAATTTCACATTTTGTGCTTGCTCTTCTAGGGCCTTCCTGAACATCTCAGGGTCTAATACTTTTGTTACTTTGCTCCCTCTGGGTTGTTAGACTTCTCAGCAGTGGGAACTAAAATCCAGCTACTGTGTTTTGTTAGGCTTCAAGAACTGAGCATAGTTTCCACACATAGGAACATTTAAGTCTAACCTGATAAGCAGACCCAAAGACTCAAAAGAAAACCAAATTTTATATTTACAACAAAATTGCAATATCATAGGCTATTTATTATAGTCACTCTCTTTCAGGTAGTGAAAATAGCGTAGGCTATTTATTATAGTCACTCTCTTTCAGCCCTAATCTTATCCGTTCTTCAGTAAGGTAAGGAAATCAAAGAGAACCTACCCCTATGAAAATTATTGATAAACTGTGATATCCTTAAATGTCACCAAATATAATTTTTCTATTGAGCACCTACTACAGAACCTGCAAGGGGTAATCCCCAAATATTTTTTGCTGATTGATAATGACTATTTAGACTTGTTACTCAGAGACTCTTTAATGGAAGTTTCCAAAGGAACGGGCATTTTAATCTCTATACTGTGGACAACACTAAACATACAGGCTTTATAGCAAGTACTGCTGGCTGTGTTATGCACTTAAAACAGTCCTACCATCCTCCGTGATAAGAGAGACAGGAAGGCTTATTGCATATTCCATTTGTGTGTGAGATTTTGAATGCCTCAAAGGTGGAGATTATCTCAGAAAGAAGCAGACATGGCTGGAAATTTCCATAATTATGGCCTCAACCTGACACTCAGCCATATACCTTGTTTATTCCCCAAACTTACCTTGTCACTGAGTGGTGTGATAGTTAATTTTATGTGTCAGTTTGACTGGCCAAGGGATGCCCAGATTAAACAATATTTCTGGGTGTATCTGTGAGGGTGTTTCTGGATGAGATGAGCATTTGAATCAGTGGACTCAGTAAAGTAGATTTCCCTCCCCAGTATGGGTGGGCCTTATCCAATCCCTCGAAGGCCTGAATAGAACAAAATGTGGAAGAAGGAGGAAGTCGATTTTTTTTTTTCCTGCCTCACTGATTAAGCTGGGACATCTCATTTTACATTCCCCTGCCCTTGGACTGGGACTTACATCATTGGCTCCCTTGGTTTGCGGGCCTTGACACTCAAGCTCAGACTCAATTACACCAATGGCTTTCCTGGGCCTTCAACTTGCAGATGGCAGATGGTGGGACTTCTCAGCCTCCACGGCTGCATGAGCCAATTCCTCACAGTACATCTCCTTTTCTTTATTCCTATCTATCTATCTATCGATATATCTCCATCCTACTAGTTCTGTTCTCTGGAGAACCCTGACTTACAGTGGTGGCTACTCATCCATCCTAAATACCTAAGGGGACCGAAGCAACTTTCTGAGAGCAGGCTAACAAACCTGACCCTGTAAAATGATTGTGGGAGCCCTAGGCCTAACTTTTCTGCATTAGCGAAGTATTTCAATGGAGATGGTTAAGCCTACTTCGTGTAAGCATACAAAGTAGAATCTGTCTGTACAGCTTCCTGGCAGAACCTAGCACCCCTACACTACCACCAGCATGACCCTTGTATGGCTCAGCTGTATTAGGGCAGATTTATTCCCGGGAAATGGGGTAATTCTTTTGTTACCAGTGAATATGCCAAAAGCTGTTTTGGAGACTCAAGATCCCCTGAACATACCAAAATAGGAAGCTCATGTCCCCATCAACCAACAAAATTCCTGGACCAAAGAGGGTTTTCTCTTTATGATAACCACAAAGATTTAGGACACTTGTGAGAAAACACAGAGGAAGAAATATTAAAATAAAGTTTTCTTACTTTTGCTCCCAAAATGTCAGCATTATTTATAGCTCAGTGGTGTAACTCTCTGATATTTAAGCATTGCTAATGTTAGCTAAATATACAATGACCAGAGTACTCTAGCCTTCATTGGTCTTAATAAAAGTATCCCTTCAGGTAAACTTCCTGGTTTGAAGACTTCTGTCCGAACCCTGAACTTAAATTTCCTTCCACACTCTGGCAAAAACACAGTGTGACATTATAACTCTGGTATTCATCTGTTAGGGACTCAAAGGGTCTTCTGGAAGGCACCCACTAATCACACAAATGAATTGCAGCGAAGTGCAACTGAACCACATGGGCAAAGACAACTTACTTGTTCATTTTTGGTAAGTCTGGTTTTGTTGTGAATGTCTGACGTAACCAAGTTGAATCCGTGCTTCTCTGACAGGATTCTCAGAAGCAAGACCACGGTCCGGCTTCCACACTTGCCAACTCTGTTGTACACCACCTGGCTCGGGAAAGGTAGCGCCTGGGCAGAACGAGAGAGCAAATGAGAGGGTGTGGGTTAAAATACTTTGGGTGCTTCCCTCAATTGCAGAACAACACATGTCTGACCAGTCTAAATGAGAAGTGTCCATACGAAACTAACAAGAGAATGGAAGCGACGAACTCGTATTTATCTTCACAGTATAACTTGACAGAAACGTTGGACTCCTTATCCGTCTGCCCTGATACTTAAAACTGGTAAAATTTCATGCCATCTATAATACTGATTGTGAGACTACTTTTGTTTTTTTCTTAGGAACAAAATATGTAAATATGTGCCTTAATGATGGTGTTCTTTTGCAAGTTATATTACGCTTTATCAGAACTTAATCTGTAGACTGCTCAAGAGAAATATAGTAATTAAAAAAATTGAGACAGGGCTTCCCTGGTGGAGCAGTGGTTGAGAGTCCGCCTGCCGATGCAGGGGACATGGGTTCGTGTCCCGGTCCGGGAAGATCCCACGTGCCGCGGAGCGGCTGGGCCCGTGAGCCATGGCCGCTGAGCCTGCGCGTCCGGAGCCTGTGCTCCGCAACGGGAGAGGCCACAACAGTGAGAGGCCCGTGTACCGCAAAAAAAAAAAAAAAAAAGTTGAGACATAATTTCCATACAATAAAATTCACCCTTTTAAAGTATACATTCAGTGAGTTTCAGTATATTCACAAAATTGTGAACCATCACCACTACCTAATTCCAGAGCATTTGAAAAGAAACTCATACCCATAGCAGTCACTTCCATTTACCTCATTACCTTGGATCCACTGAAACCATTTATCTACTTTCTGGCTCTATGGCTTTGCCTATAGCATTCTGAACATCTCATATAAAAGGAATCATAGGATATGTGGCCTTTTGTGCCTGGCTTCTTTCACCGAGCATAATGTTTTTAAGGTTTATCAGTGTTGTAGTATGAAGTATCTACTCCATCTCTTTATATGGCTGAATAATATTACACTGTATTTTGTTTATACACTCATCAGTTGATGGACGTTTGAACTGTGTCCACCTTTTGCCTACTATGAATAATGCTGCTATGAACGTCTGTCTATAAGTCTTTGGGGAGACACATGTTTTTGATTCACCTTGAGAAAATCCTAGGAGTGGAAATGCTGGATCATATGGTAACTCTACGTTTAACCTTTTGAAGAACTGCCAAACTATTTTTAATACAGCTGCACCATTTTATATTCCCACCAGCAATGTATGAGAGTTTCAGTTTCTCCACATCCTTGCCCACACTTGTTGCCTGTTTTTCTTCTTCTTATTACAGCCGTTCTAATGGGTGTGCAGCGGTATCTCATTGTGGTTTTGATTTGCATTTCCCTGATGACTAATGATGTTAAGCATATTTCATGTATTTATTGGCCATTTGGACAATTTCTTTGGAGAAATGTCTATTCAAATCCGTTGCCCATTTTAAAATTGGGTTACTTGTCTTTTTATTGTTGAGTTTTAAGTTTTATATTTTTTCTGGATTTGCAAATATATGATCTGCAAATATATTCTCCCATTCTATGGATTGCCTTTTCACTTTCCTGATAGTGTCAAAACACAAGCTTTTAATCTTAATGGAGTCCAATTTATCTAATTTTACTTTGGTTGCCCATGCTTTCGGTATCATATCTAAGGAACCACTGCCTAATCCAAAGTCACAAATATATACACCTGTGTTTTCTCCTAAAAGTTTTATAGTCTTAGTGCTAACATGTAGGTCTTTGACTCATTTTGAGTTAATTTTGTGTATGGTGTGAGCTAGTGACCTAACTTCATTGTTTTGCATGTGAATATCCATTTGCCTCCGCAACATTTATTGAAAATACTGGGTTTTTTTCTCCATTTAACTGTTTGGTACCTCACTGAAAATCCACGAAGTATAAATTTATGGGTTTATTTCTGGACTCTCAATTCTATTCCATTGATCCATATGTTTTTATCCTTATGCCAGTACCACAGCATCTTTTTTTTTTTAACATCTTTATTGGAGTATTATTGCTTTACAACGGTGTGTTAGTTTCTGCTTTATAACAAAGTGAATCAGCTATAAATATACATATATCCCCATATCTCCTCCCTCTTGCGTCTCCCTCCCACCCTCCCTATCCCAGCCCTCTAGGTGGTCACAAAGCACCAAGCTGATCTCGCTGTGCTATGCGGCTGCTTCCCACTAGCTAGCTATTTTACATTTGGTAGCGTATATATAAGTCCATGCCACTCTCTCACTTCATCCCAGCTTACCCTTCCCCCTCCCCGTGTCCTCAAGTCCATTCTCTACATCTGCATCTTTATTCCTGTCTTGCTCCTAGGTTCTTCATAACCATTTTTCTTTTTTTTTTAGATTCCATATATACGTGTTAGCATACGGTATTTGTTTTTCTCCTTCTGACTTACTTCACTCTGTATGACAGAGTGACACCTCACTACAAATAACTCAATTTGGTTTCTTTTTATGGCTAATATTGCATTGTATATATGTGCCACATCTTCCTTATCCATTCATCTGTCGATGGACACTTAGGTTGCTTCCATGCCCTGGCTATTGTAAATAGGCTGCAATGAACATTGAGTACCACAGAATTTTGATTACTCTTTCTTTGTTATAAGTTTTGAAATCGGGAAGGGTGAATCCCTGCAACTGTGTTCTTTTTCTTCAAGACTGTTTTGGCTATTCTGGGTCCTTTGTATTTCGGTATGAATTTTAGGATCAGCTTATCAATTTCTGCAAAAAAGGCAGTTGAGATTTTGATAGGGATTATGTTGAATCTGCAGATCAATATGGGGACTATTGCCATTTTAATAATATTAAGTCTTCCAATCCATGAATATGGATGTCTTTCCACTTACTGGATTTTCCTTTGTTTCATTGATGTGTCGCAATTTTCAGTGTAGAAGCCTTACAATCCTTTCATTTATGTTTTTGATGCTATTATAAATGGAATTGTTTTCTTAATTTAATTTTTGGATTGACTGTTAGCTGATAGAAATACAGTTGATTTTTGTATATTGATCCTGTATCCTCCAATCTTGCTGAGCTCATTTGTTGGCTTTAATAGTTTTTTGGTGTGGATTCTTTAGGATTTTCAAATATACGTGATCATGTCATCTGCAAACAGAGACAGTTTTACTTCTTCCTTTCCAATATGGACGCCTTTTATTTCTTTTTCTCTTTTAATTGCCAAGTTACGACGATTTTGATAGACTAAGAAGTAAATTATAACAAGTATCTGATTAAATATCTATATCCCCAATAAAGATATTATTTCCATTTTGAATGCTCAGCATTGAGCAATAATTAACAAATGTCCAGCACATATCCATAACAGAAGGCCATAAAGAAGCCCAAAGCTAAAGAATATAGTACAATATAAACATAAACATACCCCAAACTTGCCTATGGTATGCAACTTGAATTTTTGCCTTTGTAATTCTAGGTTTAATTTCCTAAAATGTTTTATATGCAGAGCAGCATTTCGTAAATTTGGAGTTTCAAGGCTAACTGTCATTGGAGTAAAATATAATACTTATATCACTCACTTAGCAACCAGTCATGTACCATTTTGATATAATTCTTCATATATATATATTTTTTAAATGAGCAGTACTTTGTTTCCTTAGGGCCAGTCAGTATGTTCTATTATGTGTCCACACAGTGCCTAGAAAATGCCTTGGATACACAGGGTCTCAACAGACATCGATTGGTTCTTGGCAGCTCTGGTAGGTTTAATGTACTGTTTAACACTAATGCAGTGATTCCAGTAAACTGTGAGACCAGGAGAATCTTCCAGTGCAGCTCTGATCTTTCTGACCAAATGCCAATACAAGTCATCAGGGTAAAAGACCATCATTATCATAGGTCATTTTACTTATGGTTCAATCAGTGAGTACCCCAAAAGTCTGTTCTCTGGCAATGACTGCAGAAGTTCAGATATTCAGGTAAATTATTTAGTTCTTACTTTATGAGGTTATGACCTAATGAGGCTGAACTGGGCTTCATGTTTAATAGAATGATACTAACAGTGTTTGCAAGTTGAATTTTCCATAATAACCGGGCTGGGGGATAGACTATGGTTGTGACAAAGCTGCCAAAATAAACACAGATTTTCATTTCTTTCAGGAATTAAACTGTTCAAGAATTGGGTGAGTGCATTATTCCCTGTCTTCTAGCCCAGCACAGAACAGCAAAGGAGAATTTGTTATGACTAAATTGATGACCTAGAAGATGTGAGTTACCACATATTAAGCACTTTATTTTAAGAGTGCAGAGTATATCTTAGAAGATTTAGATGAAGAACAGAGGCACTTAGAAACCTTAGATGGAAACACTTAATTTCTCCTGAATTTCTTGGGTAATCAACACAGTAGCAGGCTTAATATCTACCTACTCTCTTTTGCTAATAGCTAAGGATGTTATTTGCCTTTGGGTTATTGGTTAGTTAGTTTTTAAAAATATGTTCACTCCAATTCTTTCATTAGTTTTGTGGGAAGCTCCCAAATAATGATTATAAATATCTGATGTTTAAAAAGAACACATATAAAAACAAAAACCCCTGCATCATTCCCGCTGCTATAATACAATGATAT